CACAGAATTCTGCGTAATACAGCAAGACACGTACACACAAGTAGCCCTAGCTCACCTCAGCGACTCCAACGCCTATCAAAAGGTACAAAAACGACAGCTACAAAGTATCAAATCATGTTTGACGACGTCGTCCGTCCTCTTCCATTTTTTTCCGTTCAATGGATAATAAAACAATTATTAGATTCGGTTTTTGTGACATCTAGAAGAATCCAAGTCTCGATAGGGGTTATCATCCTCAACCTTCGGCTTCGGCTGATAAACCCTACCTCGACCTTGATTATTCTGGATATCACAAAAACCTCATCCAATTATTGTTTATAAATTTACAACTAGTGTTGTCAGAATGGAGTTTTAAGCTCAATCAAGTTTTTGTGTTTCCCTCAGGATGCACTGGATTTCACTTCTTTGAGAAGGTTCAAGATCAACCAGAGGAGCTCAAGATGTCGAACATTTCACCATTAATGGAAGCGTGTTTCTCGCTTTTGCCAACGGTCATGGCGATATTAGTAAACAGAAAACAGTCTCCATGATCTACAAGATGAACGAACAGACTGGAAAATTTAATTTGCATCAGACCCTGCAAACTAGAGGTGCTACTGGCCTTGAATACTTTTCAATCGCTGACAAACATTTTCTTGCCGTGGCAAATCATTTCGACTGAACGTACCTACTTGACTCTGCAGTGTATCAGTGGAATGGACAGCGGTTTGTCGTCTTTCAGAAAATACCCACCAAGGGCGCACCGGCACCACTTCATATTTTTTAAGATTAATAGACAAAACTATCTGACAATAGCAAACTACTTTGATGGGAGTACACATTCCATAAAGTCAGTGATCTACAAATGGAGTAGTGGCAAGTTTAACAAGTTTCAAGAGATCCCAACTGAAGGTGCCTTGGGATGTACGACATTTGTAATAAATAATGACACGTTCATCGCTTTTGCCAAAAATTACAACTCCAAACAGCAGTATGCAGTTCAGTCCAGTGTGTTCAAGTGGTCAGGAGGACACTTTGTTAAACTGCAGTCTCTTCAGACATACGGGGCACACGACGTGACCTCTGTTAACATCAATGGTCACACATTCCTCGCCTTTGCTAACCATTACTCTGGAAGTAAATACAACGTG